AGTAGCATCGGAAAATGGTCTGGCATTCCTACCAGGTATGATTGCAAGCCAAACTTTGGTTACGCATACAAAGTCGAATGCCTGACCTAAACATTTGTATCAACTATATTACGCTACGCGAAATGTAGCTTGAAATATCAGCGTTTAGTCTTAAATAGGTCGCGCGAGAAAGGAGAGAGGTATCGTTCTTTGTTTATATTGTACAATACGTGTATGACAGGTAAATTGTGAGCATGCTCAGGTCTGGTCTGAATGATAGCATCTCTCTCTCTCTCTCTCTCTCTCTCTCTCTCTCTCTCTCTCTCTCTCTCTCTCTCTCTCTCTCTCTCTCTCTCTCTCTCTCTCTCTCTCTCTCTCTCTCTCTCTCTCTCTCTCGTAATGGTAGACTCTTCGTCAATGAGAGGAAAAGAGGTGAATTCAATGGACCAAGACAAAATGGCAAGAAATAAAACAATTCTACGTATCAAACAAACAAAAAGAAACATGATTTGGGGGAAAATAAACTCCTCAAAGAAGGATTCTCTGTCTATATCCATAAAGGGTTATAACAATCTAAAACAGTTATATCTTCAATGCATATTTTAGCTCCTATCATGTGATCTTTGTGATTTCCGTACGCCATTCAGCTAACTAGAATGGGCCTTAAGATGATCTGTTGAAGCATTGGGGTACAAGGGTGGGTATGTGTCCATGAAGTGATGTGTGTATCAGGTTAGTTTTTTGGGGGTGGGTGGGTAGGTATCATGATATTGTTTCATATATCTTAATAAAGCAGTATGGAATGTCCCTTTGATGTACCAAGTGTGGCAATTGGTGCATATCAGATACAGATGAGATTCGTTAGGCTTGCAGTATAAGTCAGTCTCTATTAAACACACACACACACACACACACACACACACACACACACACACACACACACACACACCGCTCCGGTGGCCTAGTGGTTGGAGCGTCCGCCTCAGATGCGGGAGGTAGTGGGTTCTATCTCCGGTCGAGTCATACAAAGACTTGCAAAAAATGGTACTAACATCTGCCTCGCTTGACGCTCAACATTAAGAGGTTAGTGTTGGGACTGGTCGGCCCGGTGTCAGGATAATGTGACTGGGTGGGACATCATGCTACATATCTGCGGCATAATGCACCAGTGCTAGACATCACTATAAACTGCCACACTGCAGACATCGTAGCTATGAGACTGAAAAATTGTTAAAGCTACGTTAAAAATTATAAATACCACCACCAAACACATATCTGTCTATACGTACATCCATCTGTGTGGTCTGGTCTGCTGGCAAACTTAACATTGAGTTTGTATGGTGTTTGGAAGTTGAAACAAATTCATTGATCTCAAGATACTGTTACAAAACATACAAACATAAATAGAACCAAATTATGCTTTCTGTTAGTCTCCATATCTGTAATTTATAAATTAATTTTGCTTTTGTGAGCCTTGCTGAAAATGGTAAATTTTGGTGGTCGCATATAAAATAAACTGCTTGGTTGCCCATTATGTAGAAAAATTACATCCAAGTAGCAAGGAGGTATGTCAACATTCTCTCTACTGTGCATGGTTTAAGTGCAAACAACTTCACCTTACTTTTGTCACTCCATCGAAAGGACATCTTAACTGGTGAGCGCCCCAGTGTAAACATACCAATATAATTTACCTTATATAGGTTTAATACGCAACCGTTAGCCAAAGTTCTTGAAAAACATAACTATTTAGGCAGTTGATTTTAACTCAAATCACCATTTTCGGTCTGACAACAGTTTTATTTGCTCCATTGTGCGGAATATGATCACTTGGTAGCCTCATCAAGGTCAAGGCTATGGCATCGTAGCTAGTGTCTGACTGGCAAACGTCAAATCACTGACAAATCGCACATGTATGTATGTATGTATGTATGTATGTATGTATGTATGTATGTATGTATGTATGTATGTATGTATGTATGTATGTATGTATGTATGGATGTATGTATGTATGTATGTATGTATGGATGTATGGATGTATGCATGCATGCATGCATGCATGAATGTATGTATGTATGTATGTATGTATGTATGTATGTATGTATGTATGTATGTATGTATGTATGTGTGTATGTATGTGTGTATGTGTGTGTGTATGTATGTGTGTGTGTGTGTGTGTGTGTGTATGTATGTATGTATGTATGTATGTATGTATGTATGTATGTATGTATGTATGTATGTATGTATGTATGTATGGATGGATGGATGCATGCATGCATGCATGCATGGATGGTGTGTGTGTGTGTATGTATGTATGTATGTATGTATGTATGTATGTATGTATGTATGTATGTATGTATGTATGTATGTATGTATGTATGTATGTATGTATGTATGTATGTATGTATGTATGTGATTTAAGGGCACAATAGAGCAATACTCTGTATTGTCGTGCAAAAACTAGTTAGTAAAACTGGATAATTCAAGCCCTTAACAATATTCTACTGATAGCGAACCCATACAATCAAAAATACTTACCATGAGACAAAAAGATAAAATGTAAAGATGTTCACAAATTATAAAATGGACAAACAAGACAAATAAATGTGCAAAATCCTCAAAATGCAAGATCAAATTTGTTTGATATATAAACCGCAAGATTACAAAAAAATCAAGACCTTCTCAGCTTGACACCATTAAATGATTCATCTCACAGTAAACTCAATTAATGACAGCAGTCATGGAGGAGTGCGTATTCTACATACAAGACAACATAATGTGTAATTTAAAAAATATTTAGTTACTGCATAAGAATAGCATTTTAGCGTCCATTTTAAACACTGATGCAAGGACTGATGCATAAGTTTTCATTATCTTTATGGAAAAAGCGGAAATTGTACTTTTAGAAATTGTAAATGATCCTAGCACACTTCTAACTAAAATGACTGCTCCCTAGTGCTCCAAAAATCAGTCTGAATTTGTCTGAAGTACACTTTCATTGGCAGCTATTAAAATAAGGAAAATGAATTTTGCCACACTAGAAACTACCAGCTTATGAAAGTGCAATGAATGAATTACTATATTTTACTATATTCATGAAATGTAGAAGAAAGTTATTGGCTCAGCTTGTTTTATTTAATTTACCTCTGATATTCCGAAGTGAAAATGACCAAGCCAAGCTGTATTCTCTATAACCGATATTACGCCATCAATCAAACACCAAAATATAGGGAATTGAAGGCTTTTTTAACAATACCTAAGATATAGAAGGTTTTTTTTTATAAATAGCCAGTATAAATAGTGAGGAAACCCGGGGAAATACTTTCCCTTTAAAATTCGAACCCTATGCAGAATACAAAACTGTGGAGCATCACCCAAAGCGTACTTTGTCCGCCATGACAGATAACACGAGATTCTCGCGTTAATTTATTTTTCATATAAGATTTGTAATACCATATCTGGATATTCTAAGATACATTATTCAATGCCATACTTACTACGATTTGTTTATTTTCCCACATAAAGGTGAAATGTCCTTATATGCCACACGAGAAAACTAGGATGAAAACGGACGTAGTTATTGGTTAAACTTAATATGGCAGACGACCCAAAAGAAAATATCGGATGGGGAAGATAAACGCTATTTACACATCTTTATACAATGAAATTCAGCTATTCTGGTATTAATTTGTTTTAAAAGAAATCTTTATTAGTATTAAAGAACTTTAAACTTGTTGACAGTATGCTGAAAAAAGCGCTAGGAGTGAATCACACCCAGCTGTACTATTGACACGTAAAGTCTCATATTTGTACACCGTCCCAGAAGTGGGAGTAAAACAACTAGTACTAGACAAAGGCAATATCACTCTTATTACTTACCGTTTAATTGAATATAAATCATCTTAGCAATTGTGTATTCTTTTTATTCAGCTAAAATTTCATATTTCATACCGACGTAGATTAATGATATCACCAGGTTCCAGTCACATAGATTTTATGTAATTATGAAAGACAGTAGAAATAAAAATATTTATTTGCTTTTCTTCCACTTTTACGTTGGAAACAAAAATTGGTAGATATTGTCACAATTTGTTCCATGTGCAGAAAGGGTTCAAAAGAAATGTTGATATTGCTTTATAAATAATGAAGATTAAGACACATGACTCAAAATACAAAGATAAATGAGTTGGCCAAATTAATAAGGACCACACTGTTTGAAATATTATGATTTTTCTTGTTTTCTTACAAATATCAGCAAATAATTTTAAGATGTAGCTACATACACTGGAAAAAATAATGGAAGAGTTTCAATATTTACACCTGGACATACATTACTAATGCATATCTTTCAAATGAATCAATTGACCTTGTTATATCAATATAGTCTACCGACCACCGTCAGTTACATAGCAGCTATCTCTCTTTCTCTCTCTCTCTCTCTCTCTCTCTCTCTCTCTCTCTCTCTCTCTCTCTCTCTCTCTCTCTCTCTCTCTCTCTCTCTCTCTCTCTCTCTCTCTCTCTCTCTCTCTCTCTCTCTCTCTCTGCAAATTGCATTCATTTCTTTACATCGTGAACCCATAGGATCATGGTACAAAGACTAATAGTGCAACACTAGGTCTCATAACCAAAGGAACCACTATAAAGGCTTGTTGTCAAGATGCTCACTGATACGGTACATAGACTGGATAACCTAGCTCGCTATGCTCCTTCGGTCAACCTGTGTACAAGCTAGGTAAGGCCACGTCTTCAAGTAGCAGCAGATCAGCCAATAATTGTGATGTGTGATTTGCGATTTACATTTTTTAATGTAGCTTTAACAAATTTTCAGTCAAAACGCTACGGTGTCTGCAGTGTGACAGTTTATAGTGATGTATTGCATTGGGGCATCGTGCTGCAGACATGTGGCATGATGTCCCGCCCTGTCACATTATCCTGACACCAGGCCGACCAGTCCTAACACTAACCTCTTAATGTTGAGCGCCAAGCGAGGCAGCTGTTAGTACCATTTTTTTAAGGCTTTGGTATGACTCGGCCTGGATTCGAACTCAACACCTCCCACATCCGAGGCGGACACTCTAACCACTAGGCCACCTATGCAGGCAGCAATTTTTTTTTTTACTGACATTTAAACTCAGAACTTTCCCTTGTAAATTTGAGTGATGGACCTTTGCCTATGTCGTTAATGGCTACATAATGAGGATTTGAGCAGGCATGGAGGCAAGCTACTTCTACACGCAAAAAATCAAATGCCACCCAAAGTATTATTCATACACCTGGGTAGTTGAGGGTGTTAAGAGTGTACATTGGTATATGTTATATACAGGATGGCTACAGAGAAAAACAGGTGACATTTAATAACCATTTTTACAATTACCCGTTCGTTACAGTCTATAGCCTTTAAATGTTTCAATGAAAATTGCCATGCCTCGTAGATAATACTACGGCACTAAGCCAGATGCCACGTGGTACTCTCCTGTATTAAAAAGAGGACGCTGGTGTAAATAAAAATACATTCTTTTACTAAAAATGCCTAATGTTTTAGTGGGTTTCATGTCTTGGCTCACTTACTTTTCCTCCTTTAATTCAACATGAACATTCTATATACGTTATACGACCATATACGTTAACATCAAAAGAAAATGCACGCATTAAATGGTCGAGTAAAGGATGCTAGATCACTGCTTAATTCTAATTATGATTTTCGCCATATTAACACCGGTAGGAAATGCGAGCTGACATTCATTGCTAGAAATGATTGCAATGACTCAGTTTGTTGCGTTCAATACGGGATACGCAACAGCTGCAGCTGATTATTACAAATCTGGAATGTGCGAGGGCGATTGAATATGCGTATTCCCATTGACAGGGACATAGGTTACACTACATACAGGATAAAGTTGAAAAAGTGTAATACCATGTTTACGGTACTGGCGATTCTGACGGTTTTTCGACTTCTCAGTATGCCAGGGCTTATTAAGTCATGCATTTCAAACTGTGTCCGTTTTTTTTCCAAAATTACTTTTGTTTCCTTTAAAAGACACTCTAGCAAGAATCGATTTATATCGTCATAATAATCCAATTTTGCATATATACGTCAGTAGTGAAGGGGGATACTATAGCGACAATGGGAGTTATCATTAAAATAGGGTGTTTTGTACTTTGGCGACAAGATTTTTGGCGACAAATGACACAGCCGAAGGAAGATAGCGACAATGGGAGTTATCATTAAAATAGGGTGTTTTGTACTTTGGCGACAAGATTTTTGGCGACAAATGGCACAGCCGAGCCTTTATAGCGACAATGGGAATTTTGTATTAGCACATTCTGGGACTGTATAACGTCAAGAGAAATGGTCCCAGGTGGCATGACGTCACGGTACTAAACACTTGGTAACAGTGTAGCAAGGAGCTGACCTAGTTGTCCTAAATACGCGCAGCTAGCACTACGACTCTAGGGAGGGACCTATAAAATAGAGACATAGAAACCGACATATATTACTATAAAAACTAGAGTTATATATAAAGCATTACATAGACTTGAAATATGTTAATGGTGTTCATAAATTTGCATATTTATAATGATGCTATAAATAGTTTTAATCAAGGAAAAGACTAACACCAAAATGGATGTGACTAAAAGTAACGCTAAAATGACGAAATTGTCCCAGAACTTAACCGAGACTAAACATGTCCCTGAACATTAATTTACATTGGTTTAGACTAAAATTAATACTAAAATTGCGACATTGTCCAATACTATAGTGGAAATTAAGAAAATCTGGAACATTAATATTCAAGTGACTGTGACTAAAAGTAACGCTAAACATACGAAATTGTTCCAGAATATGACGGAGACTGAACTTATCGCAGTAGATTAAGTTATATCAGGGTTCCTGCAGGTCATGGAATCCTGGAAAAAATTTTGGAATTTAAAAAATACATTTCAAGGGCCTTGAAAAGTTATGAAATTTGTCAAAACCTTGAAAAATTTTGGAAAAGTCATGGAATTTGTGACAATGGAGTAAAAGATATTGATTACTTTAAATTTTATAGAGCACCGAGAACCGATTAAATAAAATGATAAAATTACAATCGATAAATGGTTTCAATTCATATAATAAGAGTAAGTACTCCTAATGGAAGTATCACATGATTTCAGGTGTAGTTCACTAAATAAAAGAAAGCAACTGGAAAGTAATGTATTTTGTTAATATTGCAAATAGGAACACATACAAAGACTACTAAGAATTGTTTCCTTTTTTCTTTTCAATACAAATTACATTGATCATTGGATTATGACATGAATTCCTACATAAAGTCAAAGTGTGCTAGCCCATGTAAATTTAAAAAGTACATATTAAATATATTTGTTGTTAACTTATTTCTTATTTTAAATTGAAAAATGTTATTCCTTATGTTCATTTACTTGACAATGCAAGATAGCGCGGTCCTTGAGTTTTATGAAATGGCCCTGGAAAAGGTTTGGAAAAGTCATGCAATTTATTTTTGTTAAGTCTGCAGGAACCCTGTTATATTTGCTTAGTCTAAAAGTAGAACTATGATTACCAAAATCTCCCAAACCATAGTAGAGACTGAGAAAAACTCTGGAGGATTGTATTCAGATTGCCTTGACTTAAAATATTCCACTAAATTTCAGAAATAGCGGACTTGAATGGAAACTGGTAACTAGTCAGATGTATTGGTTGTTAGAAATAGTTAAAGACAAAGTGTATCACTAAATTCTGAAATTGCAACTGGCTTTAGCGGAGACTGAAAATAATCCATAGATAATTTTTTAAAATGTTACCAAGACTTAAAGTAGTACTGAAATTATCTAAACTCATACCAACCTTCGTGGAAACTGAAAAATTGTAAATAAAAATTAAACTAAGCGATAATATTACATCTATGGTAATTAGCATTATGGGACCCTACTTTCTTAAATAGAGCAAAATGTCTTTGTGAGTTAAACACAAATTGAGAAAGTAAAAGAAGAATGGACTGAGAAATACAGAATTCAGAAGAGGCAAAGAGAAGAGCAGCAACATCAGCAGCAACAACAACAATATCAACAACAAGAACAAGACAAAGGATTTGTGGACTGTCGAATAGACACCAAAGACTTCTCTTTCTCTTTTCGCAGAAGCAGACCTTATCGTGTAGGAAAACCTGCTGCCAGACGGGGTTGCAATCTTAGACAGTAAAATTCAACAAAGATTGCCTTTACTCTTCGTCAAAAAAAAAAAAACAATCAGCCCTTTTCAGGGCTACCCAAGACTCTCGAAAAGATATACTTCTTTCATTTGCCTAAAAATTTTTAAAATTCTAGAAGTGTGACTATAAACACTTCAATTTTTAGGGGGTCAGTAAAAAACACAAAACGAAACAAACAAAACCCACCCTTTTCTCCCTGTCTTGTCAACAACATACAAAAAATTCTGACTGTGTTGGTAAGTCAAAAAAAAGTTAACGTGAGAACTTCTTTTAAGTCCGCGCGTTTCATATCATGGTAAAAAAATTAGCGGATGTTTTCCATCACGTCCGTCCTCCACGGATATAAACGTGAGCATACGTCAGTCTAGCTACCATTGTGGACTCGTCAACATTTTATTTTGAGTAGTAGTAGACTACAAAAACTCTCGGAACTCCAAATGCATCTGGAACATGCCAGACGTCTCCTGGACGAACTGACTATGAAGAAGTGAAACTTAAGGAAGAGGAGGATACAAAGAAAAAAAAATAGAGAACCAGCGAAGATCCTGTTACACCCTATGATAAAACTTGAGTGTGAGGTGCTACCTGAGGTGAGGACACCTTCAGCAGCAGCAGCAGCAGCAGCAGCAGTTGCACCGCAGAGACCAAGACCTCAGGAAATGAGACTAGTTATCCAATCCCGACTCTGACCCCGAAGACAAGAGGTACAGCAGGTCTTTACTATTCCACAAACGGAGGAGTGGGATAGTGAAGTAACTCAAGCTCCGTTTGCTCTGCAGGTCTGAACAATAAATTGGGAGAATGACTGGAGCCGATGATGTGTGTGAGGTGCTCGTCCTGGAAGATGTCAGCGTTAGCCAGGTGTCATTGGAGTTCAATATAAACAGCTCTTTTCAGGGCTAACCAAATCTCTAGAAAAGAAATACTATTCAATTTGCCAATTTGCTAATTTGTCTGAATATAGTGAAGTGTAACTATAAACACTCACTTCAATAAAGATGTGTGTGTGTTTGCATGCGCGTTCGTTGATGAGATGGTATAGGGTGTGTTTTGTGCTTCTCTTTCGTTGATGAGATGGTATAGGGTGTGTTTTTGTGCTTCTCTTTCGTTGATGAGATAGTATAGGGTGTGTTTTGTTCTTCTCTTTCGTTGATGAGATGGTATATTTTGGGTTTTATGCTTCTTCTTTCGTTGATGAGATGGTATAGTGTGTGTTTTTGTGCTTCTCTTTCGTTGTTGAGATGGTATAGGGTGTGTTTTTGTGCTTCTCTTTCGTTGATGAGATAGTATAGGCTGTGTTTTGTTCTTCTCTTTCGTTGATGAGATGGTATATTTTGGGTTTTATGCTTCTTCTTTCGTTGATGAGATGGTATAGTGTGTGTTTCTGTGCTTCTCTTTCGTTGTTGAGATGGTATAGGGTGTGTTTTTGTGCTTCTCGTTTCGTTGGTGTGAATAGTATATTTTTGTTTGTTTTATGCTACTCGTTTCGTTGATGTGAATAGTATAGGGTGTGTTTTATGCTTCTCTTTCGTTGATGAGATGGTATATTCTGGGTTTTGTGCTTCTTCTTTCGTTGATGAGATAGCATTGGGTGTGTTTTTGTGCTTCTCTTTCGTTGATGAGATGGTATATTTTGGGTTTTATGCTGCTCTTTTCGTTGATGAGATGGTATAGGGTGTGTTTTGTGCTGCTCATTTCGTTGATGCGATAGTATATGTTGTGTTTTATGCTACTCTTTTCGGTGGTGAGGATAGCATGCATTCGCGATAAAAAAACCTTTTAGAGGGTCAGTCCAATGTCTCGAAAAGACTTATTCTTTCTTGCCTGAAAAGCTTTTTTTAGTTGTTGTATAATTTGTGTTTAACTCACAAAAACATTT